TAAGAAATTAGAAGACAACCCATCATATTGTAAAACATACCCCGCATCACCAATAATAAAATATTTTTTTCTTGTGTATATGTTATTGAAATCTGAGAACATGGTAGGTGTAGTTGAAACATACCACCCTAGTCCTCCCTAATCCTAATTATAAGAACGTGTTTGTAGACTACAAAAGTATACAGCAGTGTTGTCGGTAGTCTCTTTTTGTAATTTATTCTGCATATTAGATGGCGGCAATTGGAGAGGGCGTGGCTACCCATGTCGCCCAATCATTGGTAGATAAAGCAATGCAAGAAATCAAATACTTGTGCTGTTACAAGAGCTATATTGATGACTTCGAAGAGGAGAAGACAAGTTTGAGTGCAAGAAGAAACAGAGTGCTTAAAGATATTGAAGATGCCAAGCAAGGAAATGAGAATAGGGTTGAAGATGAAGTCAAACTGTGGTTAGAAAGAGCCAATGGTCTCACAGGAGAAGACACAAAAGGAAAGAAGAAATGGTTTGGTTTGGTCACTAATTGCTTTTGGCAGTACAAGCGAGGCAAGGAGCTGGAAGCGAAGACGCAAACGATTAAACAACTGATGGAACAGAGTAACTTTGCTTGTGTTGCTCGTTCAGCTGGGCTTCCAGGCATCGAGTTCTATTCTTCTCCAAATTTTATGACTTTTGAGGATAGAAAGTTGATCTCTGAGAAGCTGAAGGAGGCGTTGAAAGATGACAACAAGTTTATGATTGGATTGTATGGGCTAGGTGGAACAGGGAAAACCACAATGGCAATAGAAGTAGGCAAAGATGTGGAACCAAAGTTCTTTGATAAAGTCATCTTCAGTGTTGTCTCAAAGGATGCAAACTTGAAAAATATTCGGGACAACATTGCAAAACACCTAGGTCTGCGTTTAACCCAAGGAGAGGATGAATCTGAACAAGCGCAAATATTATGGAAAAGAATAGCAGAAGGTGGAGAAAAGGTACTTATAATACTAGATGACATGTGGAAAAAGCTTACACTGCGAGATATAGGGATTCCTCTTGGCCGCCATGGCAAGGGTTGTTGTGCTGTTTTGCTGACCACACGTGATCTGAGAGTTTGTATAGATATGGGATGCGATGAGCTCATTAAACTTGAGGTCCTAAATGAAAAGGATGCAGTTGATCTTTTCTTATCTTATGCTGGCAGGAGCATAGATGGTCCTTCCAATGGTTTTAAGGATGTGGCTTTAGGCATTGTGAAGGAGTGTGGAAGTTTACCAGTTGCAATTGTAGCAGTGGCAAGTGCACTAAAGTCTAGGCCTTTATCAGAATGGCAGGATGGTTTGAAAAGACTGCAGACTCATGAGGGAATTCACGATGTTAAAGAAGAGTTGAAACCGGCTTATAACTCTTTGAGATTAAGCTATGATAATCTCAAGAATGAAAAGGCGCAAAAACTCTTCCTCCTGTGCTCTCTCTTCCCGGAAGATTATGAAATACCTATGGAACTTTTAACCAGGATTGCTATAGGTGTTGGCCTTTGTGGAGAAGCTAACATATACTCTGTTGCAAGAAGTCATTTTACTCCAATTAAAAATGAGCTCATAGATTCCTGTTTGTTATTAAAGGATGAGAATGAATGTGTCAAAATGCACGACTTGGTTCGGGAGGTAGCTCTATGGATTGGAAACAAACAGGTTCAAGCAGGCATGAATTCTAACTCAACTTTAATGGAAAACATCCAATATTCATCTTGGAACATAGTTGACTTTCCGAATCATTTTGATGGCAAAAAACTTGAGGTTCTTTTACTTTGGATAAATGATGCAAATTCTCCTAGAGTCAAAGTTCCTCATGCTACCTTTGAAGGGATGGAGAACCTTAAAATTTTGGCTTTAATGAGTTCGTCAGATTTGGAAATTTCAGCTGCTTCCTTATTTCAATCACCTTTGTCATTGACAAATATTCGAACTTTGACCATAAAGAATTTGAAGTCATTAGGAGATATATCTATTTTGACAAATCTAAAAAACCTTGAGAGCCTTGAATTGAACAGTTGTTCAATTATTGAATTGCCAAAAGAAATTAAAGAACTTCAAAAATTGAGATTGTTGGAGATGGTGAACTGTTCTTTTACTGGAAGAAATAATCCTTTTGAAGTGATTGGAAGTTGCTTTCTCTTAGAGGAGCTGTATTACGCTTCAAATCATGTGGATGATTATGACGGGCAAATTACAACAATTCCTAGATTTTAAAGGTATCACATAAAGGGTCTGGTTCCGGTTTATTTTAGTAATTATAAAGTGGATTTTTCAATATCTAGATATTTTGATTCACGGGGCTTAACAGTGTACTTCTCCAATGAAATATTTAAGTTCCTTGCGGCAAGAGCAGAAGTTTTGATGTTAGAAGAAGATTGCCACAACAGAGGATGGACAAATATTGTTCCTGATATATTATCTGTGGAAGATGACAACATAAAAGATCAATTAACGAGGCTCTCTTTGGGTTCCATGAATGAGATAAAGTTCCTAATCCACACCGAGAATCTCCGACCTGGTGTGGCTATCTTCTCCAAGTTGGTTGAACTGACGCTTGAGTTTGTGGATGCGAGAGAACTATGCCATGGGCCTTATCCTGTTGACTTTTTGAAGCAACTAAAGGAGCTGCATTTATTTGGATGTGAAAAATTGGAAGGCACGTTATTTGATGGCAAGTTAGAGCTGTGTAATCTTAAGTCCATATATTTAGATGAATGTTCAATGACATGCCTTTTTCATGCATCCACGGCACAGAGTCTAAAGCAGTTGGAAAAACTAGATATTATGTCATGTTTGAAGTTGAAATACATAGTAGCAGAGACTATGGATGATCAGGATCCTAATCAAAAGAGTCATGACTCAATGTTGCCAAAATTGAAATATCTCTTGATCTACTACTGTGTTGAATTAGAATTTATATTGCCAATAGGTTTTTGTGAAGACCTTCCACTACTAGAAAGTATGCACATTGAAGGTTGTGAGAAACTAAAATACGTATTTGGGCAATATCCGGACCACAAAGATTTGCACCAAATGGGGAAAGAAGCCATCCTCCAGTTGCTAGAAGAATTGAGAATTTATGAGGTACCGAATTTCATCAATATATATGCAGAATGTTATCTCCCACAGCCTTATTCTGATGAAGTTCAAAAGTCATCTCTAAGTGCAAAAGTAGACGGCAGTAGCAGTCTATCAAGGGGTCATCTTTGTTGTTTTTGGGCAAAACCAAAAGCCTCAACTATACGTCACACTTCTACTCCCACGGACACTCAATCAAACCATAATCAGGTAATACCTGTTACTCTATTTTGTTTTAAATCTTTATTTGTAATAATGTATGAATCACCCAGATATGCTTTGCTAAACTTCTTCTTGTATATATGATGAGAATATCAATTTGTCTTAAAGTAACAAAATTAATTTTGCATTTCTCTTTTTTTCCATCTAATTGAGACACTAGGCACAGTTGGCAAAAACCAAAAAATTCTCTCAAATATATGCTGCAAATTACTTGTACTTTTTTTTTGGCACATTATATTTATACTGCTTTGGGTCTTTCTCTATATGCTACCCACCCGAAAATTTGTCGGTTTATAAATTACTGATTGTAGAAGAACTTAATTTTGTTGGGAAAATTGGGGGAAGGACCCAAAAAAAGTGATATTTACTAAAAAAAGATCTGATTATAAGAAGCAAATACTAAAATATAAATTTAAAATATAATAAATTATCCCTAAGTCCCTAACAATCCTTAATTTAAACTAAAATTTTTAATAATCCTTTTCTCATCAATATTTGAAACGAAATTTATTAAAATCAGTCAAAATCATTTATATTAATCTATCTAAAATATCTTATCTATCTAAACACACAATGAAGTAAAATCATTCATCTACATGAATTGTGCTATCAATAGTTAATTTTTAAGTTGCAATTGAAAGCCCTCTTTTTTTTCCTCCCAAATATCTCTTTCTTGACTTATTTTTTATAAATCGTTTTACCATATTTTTTTTATATATATTTAAATTTAAATAGATATATTTTAATTAATTTTAATAAATAGAATTAGAACTTTTATAAATATTTTTACCAATTTCAATTTTTGAAAATAGAAAATAATTAATTAAATAACATTATTAATATTTATTTTTACCTAAAATTTTCCATTCCCTTAATTTTAAAAGGGAGAATCCCAAAGAATTATCTTTGAATTTTAAAATTCTAAATCGGTCATGTTTGCTACACTTTAATAGCAATTGATAACATTGGAGAAGTAAATGACAACATATTTTTGTAGTCATTTTTTATTTGAGATTTTGAAATTTTAGAGATATTTCCTAGAATTTTTTCATCTTTAAATGTTTTTTTATTACCATTTACTTTAATACAAACATACCAAGATCGAGAAAAAGCAAAGGAAAAAGATTATGAAAATTGATGACAAATAAGAAATAGTGTGCAGATAAAAATTATAGCTATGAAAAACTTTATGAGTAATATTTGATCAATTTGATTTCTACATTATTTTTATGCCACCATATATCTCCCTCAAAAATCATATGAAACCAACTTACGGAGCTCATTTTTTCTTCTGATTCGTTGATTTATGTTGAAAGTGATACAATTTTACTTTTAATCCAATATTGTTAAAATATGAAATTTGTTATTATGTATTATAGAAGTTGATCCCTAAAACACGGAGGGAGCGCATGTGAGATGTGGTTAGAGAAAACTTAAGAATTTAGTTAGGAATAGTTTATTATTTTTGAAATTACGGTTTTATATTTGATCCTTATAAATAATTACAAGTTTTAATATCTCTTCAATAAATATTATTTTGTGTAGGCTGTTCTCTTTAATTTTCCCTTAGTAGATCTTTTTTGTAATATCAGAAAAGTTTGAACATTAAGCCTGTACCATAACTTGTACCATTCATTTTCAATTGATGAAAGAGGAAGAATCCTCACATGTTTGTATGGAATACAGGCAGTAAAGGGGAAATATGTTGTCAACAGAGCTCATGGTCTTTTCACGCCACCATTATACCCATGTAGAAGTTTGAGAAGGATACGGATAGTTGGATTTTCTGAGTTAAAGTCACTCTTTACGCCATCCATTGTCTCATCATTGAAATTGCTGGAATGGTTGGCAGTTGGAAATTGCGATGCACTAGAGCACATAGTAACAGATGAGGAGCATGGTCATGATCGTGGGAATGCTAACTCTATTTTCCCAAACTTACAGAAGGTTGAAGTCTATGGCTGTAGCCGCTTGGAATACATATTCCCAGCTCTTTATTCAAAAGACTTGAAGCATTTAGAATCTGTGAACATCGACGGGGCTGGAATGTTGACACATGTCTTTGGAGAATGCCGTGCTGATGAGAATCCCAATGTTCAGGTTGATATTAATCTCCCAGCTCTGAAATGGCTAAGCCTTGATGATTTACCAAATATGGTTGGCATTTGTGCTAAAAACTATTCTGTGAAGGAACTATATCTAGAATATATTAGGTTGAATGAATGCCCTGCTTTGAAAACTTTGATGGACTTATTGGTTGATGGGCATAAAAGACAAGAAGATCAGTCAAGGAGAAAGGTAAACCTCCTTCCGACTTCTTTTTCCAGTTAATTTATGATTGATCAACTAAGAAAATCATTAATACTGATATATCTTAATGATGCCCACAGGCATTACCTCTTGAGAAGAAAGGTAAACCGCTTTCCAACACGCAAGAATTGCCCAAGTTGGAGGATATTGGTGTGGAACCTATTATTTACATGAGCTTTCAAAATCTTTCCAAGCTAAGAATCCACGGATGCATGCATTTGAAATTTGTCTTCTGTGCATCTACCTCAAGATGGCTGCAAAAACTAAAAAGGTTAGAGATATCAGAGTGTGAGGAGCTAGTGAGCATTATGGAGGATGAAGAGAATCACAAAAATACTATGACTCTGCATCAAGTATGTTTCCCAGAGCTACGCGGAGTAACAGCGACACATTGCATAAGTTTAAAATGCTTGTTCCCTATGTCATGTGGTCAGCTTCCACGACTCTTGTATGTGAGTATAGAAGATGCCCCTCAGCTTGGGCAAGTATTTGGATGGAAGCAGGCAGAGGGACAGAAGCTGGTCTTGGATAATGTGCTTCCTAAACTAATTGCAATAAGACTAGTAAAACTGCCAAATCTTCATACTATCTGTCAAGGGATTGATTTTCAGACTGTGAAAATCCGTCATGTGCGAAAATGTCCTGCTATTTCTTTAGCTTCAGCTTGTTGTGATACCTACGAAGAAAGTAAGTATTTACAGAGCTAATTTATTACAGCTACTAATTGCTACAATTTGTTCTCATAATAATGTAATTGTTTTATTTTGGCAGTGAATGAATTACTATATCAAACACTGTCTAATGAAGACTACTATGACTGCGTAGACGATATTTCTTCATGGGCTTTTGAGGTTAGTATCAAACTTTTAATAAAATGGCTTAATCAGCTTAAAAAGATGAAAAAAAACAGGGAGATGAGAAATGATAATTTTTACACCAAGATTAACTAAAAATAAAATTGATCAATACATGAATAAAAATTTCCCTCACTGCTAATATTTTAGCATAAATTCCATACATCACCTATTTTTCCTACTCAGTGGGCTAAGATTACAATCTTTATTAATGACTTCAACTCACTATTTTCTTTATACTCTGTTCTGAGGAATTAGAGTCAACTCTGGAGAAAGACCTAACAATAGTCAATAACAGAACAAGAGTGTGTGCTACCAAGCCAACACATTCTCTCTTACATATTATTCTTCCTTTATTCCAAATTTTAGCTTGATTTAATACGTAAAGTTTAATGATCAGAGTTCAACTCATTTCATCTTTTCTTATATGTTTTGTGATTGTTCAGTTTGTTTCGGAATCCGAGAGTGAAGAGGCATCCGAGGTTATTGAAGAAGACTCCATAGTTTCAACAAAATCGCCAGAGGTACACGCATTATGCTTTTGTTGAGAAATTATAGAGAAAGGGTTAATAACAATAACTACAAATTTTGGCAGAAATTGACCAATACATAAATAAAAATTTCGCTCGCTACTGATTTTGGCAGAAATTCCATACGACATCCACCGCTTTTTCCCATTTTGTGGGTTAAGATTACAATTTTGTTAATGAATAATTAATTTGCATGTCCTTATAATTGCAAACAATTTTTAATCAGATCATTATATTTTTACTTGGTTTTATTTAGGTCCTTGTAGCTTTTTTCCTTTTTATCACGTGCTTATAATTTCACATAATTTTAGCAGCTCCTTGTATTTTGTTAATTTGATTTATTAATTTATTTTAAATTAATTAAATAAATAATATTAAAAATAAGTTATTAATAATAAATTTAAATTAATTTTTATTTAATTATGAAAATAATTAAATAATTAATAGTTATTAACTGATTCGAATAATAAATTATAAATTAGTTTCAATTATATTACGATTTTAGAAAATTTTATTATTATAATTCAAATTTTATAGTTATAATAATAAATAAAAAATATTATTATAAAATGAATATGGATATATGTTTAATTCAAAAGTTTAAAAGAAAAATAAAATAAAATTATTACCAAAGAATATTATTAGAACTTATAGAATAAAGAATAAAAAATTTCAGGGGCATGTTGAATATCAAATGAAACTATAAGAACTTGAAAAAAAGGCCAAAAAAGAAAAACTACAAGAGCCTAAATAAAAACAAGTGAAACTATAAGTACTTGATAACAAGAAAAAAAAATTATAAAAACCTAATTAAAATTTAGTTGAAATTATAAGGATCTGTAAATTGAAGAAGAGGGATCACAAGATGTTGGAAATGACTCAACAATGCCCCAACAGAGCAATGGTTCTCCATATTTTGAAAATGTACGTGTTTATACTTTCCTATGACTAAGCATACTTAAGAAACTAACTAATGAATTATCTCTTACCTCATTGTCTTATTCATCCTTTCCAAATAAATCAAGATATATATATATTTCATGTTGTGTGTTTAGATTTAATTTATTATAGTTATTAATAACATCAAAGCTCAGTTTATCTTCTTTTTATTATACCTTTTTTTTTATGTTTAGAGTAAGGAATTATCAAAGGAGATTGCTAAAAAAGGCACCGCAAATTCGTCAAATTTTATAGAGGTGTGTACATTGTTCTTTTCTATGACAGTAGTGACCCAAATCAACAAACAATTTCTCTTTTAATTAATTATTTTAACCCTCTTAGAAACTGATATATTCATAATTTATGGGCTATGTAGGATGCCAACGCATCAGGGAATGAAATTGTTGAAGAAAAGCCTTCTCCAACTCTATCATCTGACTCAGATGTGGTAAGCGTTATTCTCTATTAATTAATACTTTCACCGTTTTATACACACACACACTTAGTCTTTCTTTTCCAGTTATATATGCAGCAATGTAGAAGTGAAGATGTCTTATAATAGTAATAATTTTGTATTATTTTCGTTGAGCTTTTTCCTCAATTAATAAAAGACTTTCTTATTGGTTAATTGAACTTCCGTAACAACTTATTCATATTTGATGAACTACACAGAATACCAAGGTATCAACAAATGAAATTGTTGAAGAACAAGTTCCTACTTCAAATAGAGCAGCAACTCCGCCATCAAAGTCTGATAGGGTAAGAGTCTTTTCTCACCAAATGCTTTAGCACTTGTATATTTATCAAAGTTGACGCTATGGGTAATCTAATTAAAACAAATTTAAGAAACAAACGGAGCCAAGTATTCAAGAAGGTACCAAAATCAGAGAAAGCTAGAAAAGCATATTAAATCATGAATTCAGAACTAAGTAATACGTCACAAACGGCATCTGCTATTTCTTTAGAAAATAAATAGTAAGAATATCGTCCTTCCTGATATGGGTTGAGTTAGCTACTAAATGACATAAGCTTGTGATAGTTTTTACATTTTTATGTTCATTCAGGATAATTTGGTTTACAATGTAAATTCACCAACTCATTCTGAGCTAACAATCTCAAATCTAGGCACATTAGTTTTTATAAAGGTAGGTTTGTTTCATTAGTTTTTTCCTTTAAATGTGTCACTTGTTGCTTAATCATTCCTTTGCTTAGGAGTTATGTGAAAAGGAATCAGTGGGTGATCAACAAGCACTTGGAGAAAGTAGAAGCTCGCTAAAAGCTCCTCAAAGAGTTGAAGAAACCACTAATGAATGCCCTTCCAAAGAAACATCAAACGAAATGGCATTGATGATTCCAGAATCCGTTACTGGAATGAAATCTCCTCTGGTAAATATTTGGTTTTCAATATATCTGCATTATTGATACATTATTGATTCTCATTCAGATTAACTTCTATATTTCTATTCTCTTAGATCTCTTCAATCTGTTCTCCAAAAAAGCCTCAAAATGAAACTTCAGCTGCTCACGTGAAAATAGAATCAGGGAACTCTACTATCACTAATCAATCTGCACAAGTAAGCCTTCATTTTATTGCACCAATTTGGAATGGAATCTGTTCTTGAAGCTGGTATATGCTAATGCTAGAATAGAAAAATTTGATAATCAACTAGTAATTCCCTTTTCTATGAAGAAAATGGTGCGTATTTTAAACATAGTATATATTAACTTCATTGCCAAATTCGAGAAAGGTATGCGCATTATGTTATTCTATAATAATAGGGACTCAGACCAGCAAACATATAGGGCTTGTTTGGTTTCTTGTTTTGGAAACAATTTTTAATTTTTTAAAACAGAAAAATCAAAAAACTTGTTTGGTAAGTTGTTTTTAGTCTATTGTTTTAAAAAACAAAAAACAGTAACAAGTTTTTAAAAACCAAAAAACCAAAACAATTTTTATATGTTTTTCTGTTTTTGTTTTGAAAAATTTTGAGAAATTTTATTTTCTTCTCATCTACTATTCATCACTTATTATTATCAATCACAACTATCATCTAACAAGTATGGTTTTTTATAAGTTTTTTTTTTCAAACATGATTTTTTTAAATTTATTATCCAAACAAATTCTTTTATTTTTTTGTTTTCAAAACTTGTTCTAAAAACAATTTTATAAAATTGTTTTGAAAACAAGAAAACAAAGAACAAAAACAAACAAGCCCATAGCTTCTCTTTAAATTAATATACGACATGACATGCTTCTTCATTATTTGAACTTTTTATGGTAACTTACTGATATTTTATGGGCTACATAGATTACCAATGCATCAGCAAATGAAATTGTCAAAGAAAAACTCTTTACAACTCCATCATCTAATTCAGACATGGTAAGGGTTATTCTTCAATCAATCCCTTCATTGATGTAATATACACTGATTTTTTTCCCCCATTTAAGTGAGTAGCATTGTGGAAGCGGAAATGTCTTTAACGGTAATGATTTTGTTTTATGGATAGGAGTTGGTAAGAGCCTCTAATGCACGACCGGTTATTAAAGTTGACACTATCAGTAGACGTATTAAATCAGTTTTAAGATACCAAAAAATTGTAAAAGGAAAAAAAATCAATTTATATTTGTTAAGTATGCATCATCTTCAAAAACAATCATCTTTCTCATACGAAAACTCTTTCATAGAAAATTGCAAAAAGGATAAAATTGAAATACAGTAATTAACGGTTAATCTTTTTATCTAATGTGATTGATTTAGAAAAGAGACTGTCATTTTTTTTTGAGAAGGTGTGACTTATATATAGATCCCAAGGGAGTACAGAATCTAGCAAGTTAAGAAATAAAGAGATGACATTGTGCTTCCTGAATCCTCATATGGGCTGAATTTATGATAAGAAGACATAACTTTCAGCCGCTTTTTTCATCTTGATGTTCATTTGGGATAATTTGGTGTTGTACAGAATCTCAAGGCAACTTTTAGAGAAGGTCCTTCATTAGAGAAATGTGACAAAGCAAGTTCTTTAAATTATTCAAAACCAAAAATTGGAAAACCTTCTACATTAGATACTTATAAGGTAAGCTTGCTGCATTCAAAATTTTAGCTTTAAATTCATGTCTTGTTTACTCATTCCTTTGCTTAGGAGTTATGTGGAAGGGAAATGGATGATCAGCAAGCACTTAGAGAAAGTAGAAGTTCCAACGAAGCTCCTCAACAAATTCAAGAACCTACCAATGAATGTTCTTCCAAAGAAACATCAAACAAAATGGCATTGTGGATTCCACCATTTGTTACCGGAATGACCTCTCCACCGGTAAATATTCAGTTTTTAACATATTTGCATTATTGATACATTAGTGATTTCCATTCAGATTAATTTTTCTATTCCTATGCTCTTAGATCTCTTCAATCTCTTCTCCCAAAAAGCCTCAAGTGGCAGCTTCAACTACTCACATAGAAACAGAATCAGGCAGCCCTGCTGTTACTGATCAATCTGCACAAGTAAGCCTTCATTGTATTGCTTGAGTTTTGGGATCTAATTTTATTCTTTAAAACTGGCATATACTAATGCTATAATAGTACAATTTGATCATGAACTGGTACCCATATAGTCTGTATATGATACTTTGCAAATTAACGCTTCATTTCATTTGCTTCAGGGCCAAATTATGTCAAGTAAAAAAGAGACCTCCATTGATGATGATCTCATTAGATTACTTCGAATAATGAAGGATGGTTCCCACTTGGAAGTTGGCCTGCCGTCTATTTCCAAACTTGCTGCTCTCGAAGATGACAAGGTGGCAAAGGCCTTTCTTGATATAGAATCCTCATTGAAAATGGATCTTCATCAGATAGCTAACTCAGAAGAACACACTAATCGTCTTGAGAATGCACTCAAGTTCTTCTCCACCCATTTTTCTGAAGAAGAACCTTCCTCTCACGGCCTTATTAGAGGCAAAATAGACTCTATTCATCAAGACATCCAAAGAATTCTCTCATCCTTCAAGCGAGCTTCTAATAACCTTGACACATTCACCAAGCTTAAAGAAAGAGAGA